TTTCGATTTCTCAATTTTTCGACATATTACTATTGGGATTTTACAATTTATCGATTCTTCCATTTCTCGATTCTTCTATTTTCGGTTTCTAGAATTTCTTCATTTTTCGATTTCTCAATTTTCCGATGTTTCAGTTTTTTAATTTTTTTTATTTTTCAGTTTTCAATTTTTGACGTTTCTAAATTTCTTGATTTTTCAATTCTTTCTTCAATTGTGATTTTTCAATTTTTCGATTTCTGAATTTTTCAATATTTCAGTTTTGGATTTGTTCACTTTTCCGATTCTTCAATTTTCTTTCCATTTTTCAATTTTGAATTTTTTCACTTTTTCGATTTTTCAATTTTCCTTCCATTTTTCGATTTCTCGGTCTTTCAATTTTTCGATAGGTATTTAAATTTTTCAATTTTTAAGTTCTAGATTTTCCGTTAATTTTTTTGTTTTCCTTGATGTTTTGATTTCTCGATTATTCGATTTTTCAAGTTCTCGGTTTAGATTTTTTGGTTTTCCATTTCTTCGATTTTTAAATTGTTTAATTTTTAGATTGTTCAATTTCTCGATTTATAGATTTTTCAATTTTTCGGTTTACCGATTTTGTTCATTTAAAATGTTTCAATTTTTCAATTATTAAGTTTTCGATTTTTCAATTTTGGTGTAATTTGAAAACTGTATCAATAATACACTTAGGCGAATAAACTAATAGACGGGCTTGATAAACCTTGTTTGCTCTACAGTGTCTAAATTGTGTTTGAATAATATAATAATTATCTCGAATATTAAAATTAATATGTCAAAAGAATACGAGAAATGATTATTCTGTGCTGAAGGTATATTGTGGGCCGCCTGTCATAAATTATCATTATTCTGCATTATCGGCTTAGGACGTTTTTATGACCCACGTCCGGTAGTCGTCTATCCCAGCGCGTCAGTTAGATATAAAGAAGAATTGCTGGTTGCGTTTAAGGCAACAAATGGCGCCCAATTCAAACTTGTTTCTCGTCTAGCGTTCCCCTTTAAATTCCAAGAACTATGCCGGGTGTTCATTTCATCTGTGCACGCCTGACAATTTTTGCATAGGCAACATATTATACACTCCAGTTACAACTTCGTCCAATTTAATTTTTTTTAATAAGCAATCATAGCAGTCACAGAAAAAAAATGACAAAGATGTCAATCCCAAATAATGACAAAATTGCGAAAATTAATACTCAATTTATTTTAAAATGCATAATAGACATACACGTTTCCAACAGCGAGGGAAGTACTGTCTAAACTCTTTAGACCAATTTTTTTTATTCGTCGTGAGCCGAGGGGCGAAGCATAATTGTAAAATCCTTATTTTTCTACGATAAATTACCATGTTATTAACATTTAACATTAACATTAACAAGTTATTGAGTAATCGTGTTATACAAAGAAAACTAAATGGATATATTAATTAAAAAAGAAAAGCAAAAGAGAAGCCCCACCCATCCGTTTCGATCTCAGTCGTGATGAGTTTTTTATTCGTTGTCAGGCCGAGAGGTGGACCCTAATTGCAAAATCCATATTTTTCTCAAAAAATTTACTATTTTAAACATGTTTTACCTTTCTTATTGTGAAAAGAAGACTACACTACACATATTAAGAAAAATGGACAAAATGTAAGCCCTTGTATCTATAATCGAGAACTATCTTTAACAATGCATAAGTGTTGACAGAAAGGTACAGTGTAGAAAATGATGGCAGCTATTTAAAATATGAGAGTTTCGGTGAACAGGTCATTAAATGGTTTAATATTTTTAATGGAACCTCATTATTTCTAGCAAAGTTTTATTTTCGTGGAATTAGTGCTGTCAACTAGAAAAATGTCCCCCCTACTTCACGAGATTTACCTCCAAGTTGGCAGTACTGCACACTACCACAATTTGATTGATAAGATAAGATAAGATAAGATAAGATAAGATTTATTGTCCAACAGAATATAAAGTTCCATTAATAGGACAATTACATATATGGAAATATTAAAATTAATAAAAACCCCTCAACTTAACTTAACAATTAAATAATAGAATTACACATATATATCCTCTACTGTTTGATTTAGAGTTTTTAAGCTGCAGTTGAAAATATCAATATCACCACTTAATTCCAATTTACTTAGTAAATATATGATAATTTAAACAGGACTTTATATATTAGTTCGTGGAGTGTGACAATACAAGGTGACCCTATGTCTACAATTCAACCAGGGAACATAAAAGTTCAGCTTACTTAGCAATTCGCAACAGTCTAACTTACCATGTAACAATGTATACAGAAACACAATAGCACTATTAATCCTACGACAACTTAGCGATCTCACTGCAAATTTGTCTAACAAAAAATTTTGAGCACAATTCCTCACTGGCCATTGTCTCAGTTTCTTGAAATATAGATACTTGAAGAATTTCCTCTGGATGTTTTCAAGGAAAGTGCATTGATATCTGTAGTATGGAAACCAGGCCAGCGAACAATATTCAAGCTTCGTTCTAACAAGGGAATAATACAAAACTTTCAAAGTCTGCATGTTATCAAAATCCTTGCAGATCCGTAATATAAAACCCAACATCTTCATAGCACTGGTTACAAGAAAATCAATGTGTACTTTAAAGGTAAAGTGCTAATCGTACCATACATCCAAGTCTTTAATCTCCGAACATCTTGTAAGACTAACATTATTAATTGAGTGCTCAAATATTATCACATTCAGTTTATTCGAATATGTAACAACATTGCACTTATCATTGTTAAGTAAAAGGGAATTATTATAGGACCAATAATATACTTCATTAAGGTCTGCAGCAGCCCATAGTCATCATTATTTACGACCTAGCGATATAACTTTATGTCATCCGCAAATATCAGAATTTTAGAATGCTTAATGCTGCTAGTGATATCATTAATAAAAATAAAAAATAATAAGGGTCCAAGAGTGGACCCTTGGGGAACACCAGAGGTTACCGTATAATGGTCTGAGAGATGGCCATTGATCATGACAAAATTCATGGACCTGCTCAAGTAGGAGGCAAAAAATTTCATCATTGATTCAGGTAGACCTAGTCTTGATAGCTTTAAAAGTAGCAGTTCATGATTAACTGTATCAAATGCCTTAGAATAATCAAGATAAATTACATCCAGTTGACTCATGCTCTCAAAGGTGCTGACGATCTCTTCAGAGATGCAAGTCAAGTTAGTCAAAGTTGATCTTGCAGTAAAGAAACTATGTTGTCTAGGAGTCAATAAACATTTCAGCTGAAAAAACAGTTGTCTGGAGATAATTGACTTCAGAATCTTAGAAAAATTACAAAGTAGTGACATGGGTCTATAGTTGTAGATCTCCCCAGAGTCGCCCTTTTTGAAGATTGGAACAATTTTAGAAAGTTTCCACATGTCAGGAAAACAAGACGTTTTTAAGATCAATTTGAAAAGAAAGAGCAGCGGTTTACTAAAAACAGAACAGCAATCTCTAATTATAAAGCTTGGAATTTGATCAGGACCTGATGTCCGAGAATCTTTTAGCTTTTTCATAGCTCTATATATCTCTGATTCATCAATAATTATGTTGACATTACGATTATTGTGGACATTAAATAAACTGGTATTGTAGTTAACTTGATTAGGAGTAGACGAACTAAAAGTTGAACTGAAGTGATGAGCAAACGCATTAACAAAATCCTTTGGTTTTTCAAAATACACATCATTAAGATGAAACTTACCTGGGATTGAAGTAGAACCACTCTTGTCTTTAATATATGACCAGAAGAGCTTTGGGTCATTACTTAATGAATTTTGTGCCTTACGAATGTAGATTCTAAAATCTCTAGAAATTAATTGTTTAACAATGCGTCGAAGACCACAAAATTGTTTATAGGATTCTCTGTACAAGTTATTTGATTTGTATTGATTAAACTTCTTTTCCTTAAGTTTAATGTAGCTTTCAATTCGTCTGAATACCACTTGGGAAATCTAGGTTTACTATATTTCACACTCGGCACGTGCTTATCTAAAACATTGTTAATTATTCTGTAAAAAACGTTACAAGCATTGTTAGCATCTGTGATTGAATAGATAGAACTTCAGTCAACATTAAGTAAGTCCTCATAAAGTGCTGGAAAATTAGCTTTGCTAAAACTGTAATATTTGTTATTAGAACCCCCTGGAAAATTAACAAATGAACCTTCAACAACATTGACCGTGATGTAAAGTGCAGGATGGTATTTGTCTTCAGGTAGAATTGGGTTATCCTCACGTGTCACAATGTAATTACTTAAGTTACTGAAGACTAAGTCTAATAACCGACCATCACAATTAAGTATTGTGTTGGACTGCACAATATTCAGAAAAGACACCATATTATGCACATAGTTAGACTTGGCGTCATTAGTTTTCCCAAGAAAATTTGGAACATTCAAATCTCCAATCAAAAGATATTTATCATATTTAATTAAAAGATTTTCTACGCAATCTGCAAAATATTCAAAGTCCTCTACCGACACATCAGGTGGAACATAGACAACTAAAATACATATTTTTAGAGACTGACAGCATAATGTACATCCCACAACAGCTATTAAGTCAGGAAAACAAAAATTAGATAAATCAATACCGGTTGCATTAAATTTTTCATGAAGCGCTAACAAAACTTCACAGCCTCTACTTCTTCCAGTCGCCTCAAAATTATGATCCTTTCTATAGACACCATAAGACTTAGGTATCAGTTCTGAGCTACTAACATATGGGTCTAGCCAGTTTCTGTCAGATAAATAAAATCATACTCAAAGTTTGTTAAAAAAGAGTACAAGTTATTAACTTTTGACCTAACACTCCTAACATTTTGATTGGTTGAAAACTCAAAGTCAACGGCAACGTCAACGGCGAACAGCAACGTCAGCGTCAAGTTTATAAATCGACCTTTTATCTTACAACGGCAACGTTAACTAACCAAGTAAATCACTAAAAATTTTTCAAAAATTACAAAACAATACGAATCAAGTAATGTTTAATAAACTGAATTTACAGGTAGACATAACAAAGTTTGTACAATGTTAAGGACATAAATGAAATTATAAAATTTGCGTTTGCCATTTTCATACACCTACTTTTTGTGAATATTTTTTTTTCTAAGATAGTTCTCGTTTCTAATTCCAGTCTTCATTACTTCATTTAGAATCTTCGTCATTTCTTCTAATTTCAGCAAAATATGTTTCGCATCTAAATCATTCTGGCGTCTCGAATTAAAATCTTTGATTTTTTCTAAACAATTTTGCCCTACATTCGTGGGAAAATTCTTTCTTCCCTCAAATTGATTTTTCTTGTTTATATAGAAGTCGACTTCGTACTTTTCAGTCTTAGTTTTGACAAATAAGAGAGAACAAGGTAAAAATTTCCGTACAATCTTATATGCGTAAATCCTCCGTTCAACGAACGCCATAAAAGTTATAACATTTTTAAAAGCGTTAACGTCAGCATCTTGCTGTATAGTACCTATATCCGTGACAGCCACACCAGTCCAAAAATTTACGATAACCAAAGCCATAAAAATTGCAAAAATTAAAAATAGAATATAACCTCCAAAATTTGATGAGTTGAAATCAACTTCTCCGACGTTAAATTCGCCAGTTATCATGACGGAAGTGATAAAAATGGATTTTCCAATAGATGTGAAAAATTTGTGCTCTGTGTCTTTGAAAAGTACATGAAAAGCGGCAGCGAAAGCTATGATTATCAAAGTGAAAAAAATCATCAGTAAAGTAAAACTCTCAAAAACTTTTTTTAGCATAACTGACCACTTGGCTATTTTTGGATGGTAGCCCACAGTCAATAGAAATAAAAGTGACATTTCGATAAAAGCAAATGCTCTACATTCAGCAGAGAAAAAACTTCCGAAAAGAGTCAACATTAGCAAAACTTCGCCACATTCATACATAGTTAGCATTCTTAAGTTGTTAAATATCCAACATCTATGTCCGAACACGATACCTAATTTTAAAACAAAATTCAATATCGTAAAGAAAATACACATCTTGAATTTAGGTTGACAAGAATCAGATAAAGAATAAAAACATACGCTTAAAGCGAGAAACAGCAAACCTTGTAAAAGTAGAATCATCCAATAGTACTTCTCCATTTTAGACCACTTCAAAACAATGAAAGTGTGGATTAGAGGGTGAATTAACAATTGTTCCAAGTGCTTACGTTTTGAAATTCTCGAAACAATAGCGACTTCGTCATTTTCGCTATTTCTGCTATTTATTAGTGATTTAAACCGAAAGAGCATTTTGTAGTCAGTAGCACTGAAATCCAACGCGTATCTGTCCAAAACCACACAGAAATCAAAATATTTTTCAAGATCTTGAGCATCAGTTATGTCGAGAGCAGTTTTTCCGTTTTTGTTTTCAACAAACAGCGTTTGCGGAGAACGTTTCAGTAACTTTTGTATTGCAACTTTGTGGCGAAAACGCGTTTCCTTGAGTCTTTCAATTTCTTTAAAGTTAATTTTGTATTTATTGCAAGTCATTGCTAATTTTCTAACAATTTTAAAAAAATTAGGTCTTTCTTCGTCGATTTTCTTATAATTTTCTGTAAAAGTAGTTACGACAATCTTCAATTAAAATAAGTTTTCAAAAACACCATAGGCTGAACATACCTTGCTCTTGCTCCATATTTATGAATGCTGATTCTTCGCACATTTTTACTAAAAATTGCACTGTGTTACTTCTAGAGAGAAATTTAGAAATTGTTGACTGTTGTTTTTGCAGCACGTTTTACTGATTCACACTGATTGCACGCTTTGCAAACCACAAAGTGATAAGTGATATCGTATCAATAGTATTTTATATATATCGGCTGGTTATTACAATAATTATTATAACGTTAATGATAAAACTTCAACCCACTTTCTCATGAAAAGTTGTCAGGTTGGCTTAACTGCTGGCGAGGGGATGTAATTATCTAATTAAACTTCTTCCATTGCAGTAAGAGTAAGATGAAGTAACAAAATATAAATTGTTCTATTTGAAAATCCTAAAATATCGACTTTTGAAAATAGTTATAATTTGTTCTTTTTTTTTTATAAACACTTTCTATATTAAAATTCAATTCTATTTATACCACAATAAAGCGCGCATCTCTCCGCAAAATATTGAACAGATTTTAAAAATAACCTTACTGAAATTTTTTGTGAACCATTGCCAACAATTTTTAAGAAAATTGGAATAACTGAAAAATAAACTACAATTAAGAAAAGGTCAATCAGCGTATAGAAAAATATACGTAAGACATTCTTATAAAAAATTAAGATATGTGTTACTCATTATGAACACTGTATAGTTGAAAATATTTTTGGTATATGGTCTCCAAAAAATTGTACAACTATATTCTACGACTCTTTTTTATTTGTAAAAACTAATGATATATCGAAAAACGCGTGATTCTAAAGGTCTAGTAAACCCATGACTTGATATTAGATCTTCTTCCACTCCCTTCTATCAATACATACCTAGTTATTTTCTTCAGTTTCGGAAACCTAACGTTTCTATATCTGCCTCTACTTGTGTTTTTCACGTAACCCTACGTTTTCTTCCTCCTATTTCACTCCCCAGTATACGTCTGGGTATCATGAGGACGTCTCATTATTTTTTGACGTAACTGAGGTATTTTTTGCGTTTTAATTAATCCGATGATTTTTGGTTCTTAAAACAAATTTTGTAATTCCTTTCTGTCGCAATTAACTTCTCTTCAATTTTATTTACTTTTCATGATTCACACACACAGAATGACGGTCACACTACTGTTTTGTAAATCCTAATTTTCATATACATTATTATTATTATTAATAATAATATTACTATTAACATATAAGCTCCACAGGTCGTGACCCAATTACGAAGCTTAAACCAAAAAAAAAACATAAATAAATAATTGTTAATTTAAAGAACTCTATTTTTCGTAAAAATGACTATTCCATTGTCACGTCTGTAAGGGCAAAATCACCAAAAAATGTCAAATATAGTGACTTTGATAGTTGTAAAGTTGTCCCTCAAAGTATATGCGGCGGAAAACTCTGAATATTTCACTTCAATTATACACCAATAGTAAATTTTTACTCAAATCAAACGAAATGTACGAAAAAAAAAATTAATAAATAAAAACTGATTAACCAACGTTAACCAAGGCAGCTGACAAATACCCAAAACACAAATGTCAGTTTGCCTGTTGCCAACCTTTGGTTACAAATTCGTGCCCCTTCGGTGGTGGCGACATCTACTTTCGCTTTGCGTGTTGTAACTGCTGAAAATTTAACTTTTTAACCACTAGTAAAAATCTCAATAAGACGATCAGAAACCATTACCAACGCAGTTTTTATTTAAAAAATAATTTGTAAGATGTTTTCTAAGTGCTTGGCCACTGACCACGTGAATATCAATATTTACCTACATCTGGATTGAACTTATCAAAATACATTTGATCTTTTTATATAAAAGATAGAAGTATAAAAGATACATATTACACATCCTGATAAATTCTACTCTTATACAGGGTCAGTATCATAATAACGGGACCCTGACCAATTTTCAATGCAACACAACATATGTATTTTGTGTTATTACTCACTCACCTTTGCAGACGTTCTAAAGTTATCGCAAGCATGGTATAATCTTAATCAAAATATATTTGTTTATCCCTTCCCCTCCTCAAATTGATAACGTCATCTCAAAATTTTGTTGCATAAAAAAGTGAACGCAATGCCATAGAGTATGAGACTGCACCGCCGGCCGGCCGGCCAAATTTATCGCCTGACGTCGCACAGTCGTATTTAATATTGGTCTGATCGATTCCTCATCACTTCGGATTTGAATAACTCTGGTGATCACTTTAAAAATTCTGCGTGGAAACGAGTGCATTACGGTACTACCTTACTACCTAGTTAAGTAAAGAAGAGTGTTCGAATGAGAAGACGTAGCACCAAATATAACTAAAAAATTGCTCAACATTTTTGTTTCATTAATACCGACTATTTCCTATAACAGTCAACTATTAGGTGCCAGTAGAACATGGAGTACGGGTGGCTATAAATTCCTTTTAAAAAAATATAATAAAGTAAATTTTGAAATACGTTTTACAGAAATTTGAAATTTTGACTTGCTTGCTTGTTCTCACAATACGATATATGTATGTACTTAGAGTGCGAAGAGATAGGTTTCCGTCCGTCTGCGTGTCTGTCTATCGGCCTGTCCATCTGTCCGTCTGTCTGTCTGTCTGTCTGTCTGTCTGTCCGTCTGTCTGTGGTCTGTCCGGATATTTATTAGATCTCCGAAACTACTGGACTGATTGTTGTAGTAAAATTTTGTATGTATATTAGCAATATCATTAGATGGTAAAACCCTAACCCAAATTTGGCTGATCACCCCCACCATCAATTCGATGACGTCCGCTCATTATGTTGCATAATTCACATCACCGATTTTGTATGAAATAGTATACTCCTGTTTGTGGTTTACGAATCTTATCTTGATTTTGTTTATTATTGCTATATTTGTTTACTATTTAATCCGCATTGTCTTTACCAACATAATACCCAACCTCCATAGAACAGATGTTCAGCTCAATGGTAAAGTTCCTGCTGCGTAGACACAGGGTCGATGGTATGTAACCAGCGGGCGGCGCACATTTTTTTTTAATTAATTTAACAATATTAATCACTCTTTCATTTTTTATTGATCAAATTAAGAACGAGCCCACTCATTTTCTCGAAAATGTGAGATTGCGCTCGTTTTTGTAACAATAAAATAATGAGAAGATAGAAATTATAATAATACCATTCAGAATATTTTGTTCAATTGAGACTTATTAGTAATAATTTTGGTTATGCGTTTTAAGGCAATAAACTCATTCAAAGCAAACAAATGTCTACGTGACATTCTTCCGATGTATAAATTTAAAGCTAAATTTAACGCCTGACGTCGCGCCGTCGTTTTTAATATTTATCTGATTAATTCCTTATCACTTCGGCTGTGCCTAACTCTAGTCATTCAGACCGTTAATGATTATTAATTATGATAAAAATTTATTACATCTTTGTTCACTTTACTTTTATTAGTAAGTATGGTATATGATTTTATCAAACTGAAGTGTTCTATTTGTTCTATTATATATTTCATTTACAAGCAATTTCAAGATGTCAACATGATTCAATAGTTATTTTTATAACAAGTGCCGCAAAAAAACTGCACGCGTGAACGCAACCTTTTTCGCCGGAGTATAAAATATGTGAAAATCATAGTGGTTGTCAACCATAGTAACCATGGTAAATGAAATCAAGGCAATTCCTTAATGACGCAAGAAGATAGGAAATAATCATTTCAAAAGAAGATTAATCGATTGAAAATAAAATATTGTATTTCATTTGGAGTTTAAGTAACTTCATGTGACTCGTATGGACTTAATTCGCCTCGCTATCGCTCGGGGTTTAATCGTCCATACTCCGTCACATAAAGTATCACTTAAAACTCCTAATAACATAAATATCTATTTTCCTACAACTGGAAGGATTTCTGTAAAATAATCTAGAATTAAAATTTCACTAAATTGATACATTCCATCATGTTAGTGCCATTTATGCGTTGCTAAGGTATTTTATTGATAATTTTAGGTGTTTCAATGTCAGTCGCCATATTTACGTGTCATGTCCGCTTGTGCTAGTTCAAAAATGAGTGATTCTAGTAGCGAATGTTGCACTCCACCCGAATTATGTGAAGCAGCAAAGAAAGCAATAAATGCCACATTTGCAGACCACAGTTTATCTTGCAGGCTGGGGGTTAAAAATGCTCCAATCAAGTTAAAACTCGACATTTGCTTATTTCTCAATACGAAGATTATTGATGCAAAATTTCAGCCCATTTGGAGAAACCCTCAAAAATTACCCCCAAAACAACCTTGCAGACTGGGGGTTAAAAATGCTCCAATCAAGTCAAAACTCGATATTTGCTTATTTCTCAATACGAAGATTGTTGGTTCAAAATTTCAAGCCGTTCGGAGAAACCCTTAAAACAGATTTGCATACTGGGTGTTAAAAATACTCCAATCAAGTCAAAACTTGAGATTTGCTTATTTATCAATACGAAGATTGTTAATACAAAATTTCAACCCGTTTGGAGAAACCGTTAAAAACTACCCCTAAAACAACCTTGCAGATTAGGGCTTAAAAATACTCTAATTACGTCAAAATTTGACATTCGCTAGTTTTTGAATACGAGGATTATTGATGCAAAATTTCACCCCATTCGGAGAAACCCTCAAAAATTACCCCCAAAACAACCTTGCAGACTGAGGGTTAAAAATGCTTCAATCAAGTTAAAACTCGATATTTGCTTATTTCTCAATACCAAGATTGTTGATTTAAACTTTCAATCCGTTCGGAGAAACCGTTAAAAACTACCCCCACAAGAAACTTGCAGACTGGAGCCTAAAAATACTCGAATCAAGTCAAAATTTGACATTCGCTAGTTTTTCAAATCGGGGATTATTGATGCAAAATTTCCGCCTATTCGGAGAATAGGGGTTAAAAATATTCCAGTCAAGTCAAAACTCGACATTTGCTTATTTATCAAAACGAAGATTGTTGATACAAAATTTCAATACATTCGGAGAAATCCTTAAAAGAAACAAACTAGGGATTAAAACAGCGTCGGACTGGCTCGCCCGGCTACCCGGCGATCGCCCTAAAAGCTCAGGGTCCCTAACGAATCACTTCAAAAAATTATTTTATTATTTAAATTTAATTTAGTTGCTACTATGTAAGAATGCATAAGTTCGGCATTTTTTCGTCCAGTCTCTCATTTTAGCGTCTGTTTTTACACGTCATTTTTGCTGTTAATTTGGTTCATTCAGTACATACTATATGCTGGTTTTGAGTTCTTTGAGGTATAATTAAACTTTCATTATCAGTCAAAAAATACAAAGTGGTGTCCAGAAGAGAAAATTTAAAATTCATAATAAACAAAATCTTAAAGATATTTTAAAGAAAATTAGAGACATTTTTAATTTCTGAGAAACCTAACGTAAAAAAAATGTTTTGAGAGAAAGTTTAAATTAATAATAGGAAGCTCAAACTTAATTTTATTTGAATTTCAAAAGGAACCCAGAAAAGTGCTAATTTCTTAATTAATTATTATTAATGGGAAAACAGATAAAGATCCGTTATATTCAATACGACCCAAAATTGTCTTCATATGCAGGTCTTACAGCCTTTGGATAGTGTCCACGTCCATTTCTCTAACTGTCTGGTAATTTGTTCTTCTAAATTGGCAGCCGTTGTTGTAAACCTTTCTACTTTTAGTATTGCCTATTTGTTTTCGATTGTTCGCACGGGGGGCACTATGGGGGGATTATCTTAGGTACAAAATTTATACTATTTCTTTCTAACCAATCCCTGGACATTGTAGTATAATGGCATCTTGCTAAATCTGGCCAAAATATTACATCGTCGTTATTATGGTGTTCCCATATATTGTTATGTATTGACCGCGTCACTTCTAATACGACCAATGAATGGTTTTGAACCGCCAGCCGAAAATATAGCCCTCCAAACCAAAATTTTATCTTTAAACTTTGTCTTCGACTTAATTTTATTTGTAATTTCTTCTACACTGTTTGTATAAAATCCATCCTTCCATCTCTAAATAGGCAAACGTACAATATTTTTCATCGCCCAGCACAACCACACGATTGTCCAAAAAATAATGAATTCTCAATAGCCGGCAACATCTGAGAATTATCTCTAACTGCGCTGCTGTATGTTTTGAACATTTAGCTCTTTTGCTGTCTCTCAAATTGTCGCTCTGTTTCTGTTATTTTGTTAAATTAAATTTAATTCTGTGTTTATTTGTCTTTTTTTTTTGCTAATTTGTATATCATGTGTCAATAGTGAATAGTTCTTTAATGAAATAACGATCACTGGTTAAATTAATAATTTTTATAGTTTGGTTTTGCGAAATTTTTCAGGGTTTTAGATCTTTCAGCAATTAAGATTTTCGTCATATTTTTAAATTGCAGCACATTCGAAAATCATATCGTTGAGTAGTCAAGGTATTGCGAATGCAGTTGTTTAAACATGACCAAGTTTTTCGCAAAATATTTGTCAAATAATACCTAATCGTATTGTGTTCTGTGTGTTCAATTGACGATGGAAAACAAAGATTCCTCTAGCGATTCTATTCCTTCGGAGATGATATAACAGTGATAAAACGTCATGGGGATGAAAATCCCCCACGACATTTCCTTCCATTGCGAAAGGCTACATTGAAGATTCGATGGCGAATAAAAGAAACATCGCTAATCAGATTTTCGGAGACAATAACAGTTGTACTTTCACCGATAAAAAGAAGCTGAATTTGGATCTGAACAACCCAGAAGAGGAGGCAGCAAAGGTTAGCAAAGTTTTTGAGATGAAAACCACTGAAGACAAAGATCGAAATGAAAACAGAGAGAAAAATAACCACTTACATAAATTGTTCTTTGAAATGTATTTACATTTTACTTCCCGCACTAGTGCGGAAAAGTATCACTTTCCGCACGAGTTAGCGTGCGGAAATTAGTCACTTTCCACACGAGTTAGCGTGCGGAAAGTAGTCACTTTCCGCACGCCATTAGGAAATAGCTATTTGTGTATTAAGAGCGCAAAATTATACCTTGCCGATTGAGAGAGAAAGTTGCGGCGCGACGAAGGAGCGCTGCAATCTCTCGAAATCGGCAATGAATTTGCGCTCGTAAAACACACAAGATTTTTTCTACAATCAAGACAGTTTGCACAATAATTAAAAACGTCCCACTTTTACAAAAAAATTAATTTTATTAACAGTAAAACTCAAAAATTTGTATAAACCAAAGTTTGTTTAGCTGTTGCTATGGAATGAACTGGCCAGTGAATATTTGATTAATTGGATTAGTGAGCGTTTTGTACATTTTGTCGCGCGTGAGCGACAAAGTGACGTTCCTCGGAAAACTTGACTTTTGCGTTGTCAAATCCAAGCGTCAAATGGCTACTTTCTATATCGATTGGAGAAAAAATATTTTTTTCTACTCCCACTATTGTAAATGATTAGATTGTACAAAATTAGCCAGTCATTACGCATAGTTGTGTGTAATGACTGTGTGTAAAGACTAGGAAATTATTTGTTTTACTAAAAATATGTTAGCAGTACAGTACAGTAATAATATGAAAATGTTTTTTATTTTCAAGATAAATCTAGTTAAGAAATATATTCTACATATATTATCCTTTTTTTTTTTGTATTAAATTAATCCTTTTTTTATCTGCTGACAGGAACTTTTTTCTTTAGTATATGCGTAGTGGCAGGCCTGTGCGTTTGACTTTTGTTGACAAAATAGAAAAGTTGTGTCAGAAAATTCTAAAGAAGGTATTTTGTGAATTGTGAGTTTTTCTAATACTACAACAACATAATGTTATCTGAACCAGATTCCGAGATTGTTTGTACATCATCAAATATTGTCGACAAAGCTAATGATAATTACTTAATGAGGCGACGGATTACCTTGTGGCAACAAAATCTAAAAAGCGATATGAAATAATCTATACAAATTTTATGGACTGGAGATTAAAGAACAAAGTGAAATCGTTTTCTGAAAATGTTGTTCTCGCTTCTTTTGACGAAATTTCGAAACAGTTCAACCTTATGGGCTATTTAGTCAATGTTGCGTAGTATGTTAATTATTATAATAAAATAGAATACATTTTTTTGTTAAAATGTACTTTTTTTGGTGGTCGCAGAAAAAGTATAGTACATAACTCGAATACAAACGTCTATTCCGCACTCGTTAAATAAATGCACTCGCCCCTACGGAGCTCGTGCGCAATTTTTGAAGTCGAGGCATAATATGCTGTTTACTATTCTCGTTATGTAATATACTATTATTTTATCCTATGTATATTGTAACCATACCTATAACAACCTTAACAACAAGTTACGTTAGGGCATATTTTACATTACTATAGTACTGTTATGAATTTTCATAACGACACTAGTGTTGTTATGAAATCATAATCTTCACTGACATTTTCCCTTCAGAGCTGTTTACATAAAAATTAAAAACTTACGAATTCCGAAGCGTATGCTAATAATAATTAATTTACAAAATCAGAAACAATCGTTTTTTCAATGTAAACAACTAATACCGTAGCTATCAACGCAGCTGACTGATTTTTTGCGCGCTTTGAACTTTGTCGTTAAAAATATTTTTGTTATATTATTTTTAAATTGTGATTATAGGATAAAATAAAACGTGTTACGATGCACGTAACGTTATCTGGTTTTACATTAAGTACTCGGAAATTTTCCTCGCTCGTAATGTAAAAACCCTAATAACGTTACTTGTATCGTAAACTACTATTAAAACATTCAATAACTGTAAATATACCATAATACAATCATCCAGATTTTGATGAATATAGTACCGATTGCGATATTGCAATTTTGGAATTATCTGCTAAATTGTCTTTTGACTACCATAGCTCTTCCACCTTCTGAGCAAACTTGGCCTTCCGCTACTGACGCGTTAGTTAGTGGTTGGGGTATTCTAATAAGTGAAGAAAGTAGTGCGTTGGTAATTTATTTGCAAGTACAACTTGTGCGTCAAGACATTTGTTTAACAGATTATACATGATCGTTTTCCGGGTTGGAACCGTGTAAATTAAGTTTTTAGGCTCAACGTTTCACACACTTTCGTAAGTGGCATCTTCAGGAGTAGGGTTAAAAATAAGGCAAAAGAGCACAGTAACTCAATATGTCAACCATGCCAGAGGCGAAACTCTTTTGACAGGAAGAATTTGGTTATGGCATATTTATACACGTAGTGGGGGAAAACCGTCGTGGTTGAAGCTGATTAGCTGGCTCCGAGCGGAGTGGGGGGAGATGAACGAGCATTTGCATCGAGTGCGGGCTTCCAAATATGTGACAGATAATAACCATTGTCTCAGTTGACGTTATGTGGACACATGAATTTCAATAGCTTCACGGATTTTCCAGTCATAGAAATGTGGTCCCTTGGACAGAACTTGGGAATTATCAAACGGAATGGTGTGACCGGTTTCATGTTGGTGTTCAACTACGGCAGAGTGAGTCAGAAGGCCTGTTCTGAGATAACGTTTGTGTTCTTGAGTTCGAACTTTTATGGACCTATCAGTTTCTCCCATATATTTTCCACCACAGGAACAGGGAATGCTGTATATTCCTCTACAGTCTAGAGCTTGGCGAGAATCTTTGACGGAAGGAAAAATTTGTGCAATTTTAGTTAACCCTACTCCTATAGATGCCACTTACGAAAGTATGCGAAACGTTGAGCCCAAAAACTCAATTTACACGGTTCCAACCCGGAAAACGATCATGTACTTTGATTATTGCACTCACGTGTCTCATGATCTCAACTGACCAATCAAACGTCTCAATATTTCTAATTTCAACCAATCAGCATATAATTACGTGATAACTGCATACATGCCATAATTGGACACTAGCCTTATTTACGCCGTGATGCACTTAATACACTTATTATAACTGAATATTTGCACAAAAAATACTGAGTTTCAAAATAATGTGGTTATTTTGTAGCTCGGAAAATCATACGTCTAGAGAAAAATTATATACATTTCCTGTTTTGTTAAAAGACAACTTGGTAGCACTTATCTAACTTGTTTAGACGTACATGTATAGGTATCATTTATCTTCTTATCTACATCCTCTTTTTTAAATGTTCTTATAAATAGGCTCTCAAAATGGATAAGTCCGAATTTAATTCAACAACAAAATGCTCCTACTACTAGTGTTAACTTCCTTACTATCTTGTTCTTTAGGTAAGTACTGAGACAAAAAAATATATAATAAACATATTATTGTTATTGATCAGGGACTCCAACAATAAACGATGGTCGAATCGTTGGAGGACACGATATTTCAATCGAGGAAGCACCTTACCAAGTTTCTTTACAATACGACAACTCACATTCTTGTGGGGGTTCTATCGTAGCACCCAACTACATTGTCACAGCAGCACACTGCACCGAGGGGTATAACTCAAACCCATGTTATATACTACATTACCTGCTTTAACTTCAACAGCAAAACCGAAGACGGTATGTCGATCCGCGCCGGTACCTCTATTCGTGAAGATGGTGGTCAAGTAATCGATGTGAAAAAAATCACCAATCACCCCAAATATAACACAGATTCCGGGAGTCCTGACTATGACATAGCCATTCTAGAATTAGCAACAAATTTGGAATTAGGATTTCAAGTGGCTGTTATAAATTTGCCGACTGAGGATCAAACATGGCCAGCTGGTACTGAAGCTCTTATTAGTGGCTGGGGGCTTACACACGAAGGCGATACCGAACTACCTGTTAATTTGCAGGGTGCTAGTGTTCAGCTCATTGATCAGGCTTCTTGTGTAGCAGCTTATGGTGGATTCATCACTGAGCGAATGTTTTGCGCTGGTGTTGATGGAGGCGGGGTTGACTCATGCCAAGATGATTCTGGAGGACCATTACAAGTAGAAGGTATATTAGCGGGAGTGGTGTCTTTTGGGAACGGTTGTGGACTTGCTGGTTTTCCGGGTGTCTATACCAACGTTAGCGACGTTCTAGATTTTATTCACGACGTTACTGGTTTATAAATAATGTAATGTAAATGTCGTTTCCTTCTTATTTATAAAATCTTCAGTTTAATAAAGTGGAAAATTCCTAATGATAAAACTCAGTCGTATTTATTATATTCAACATTTGTGCTCCCTTGAGAACAAAATCACTTTAAAAGTGTTAATACAATTTTACAGAAATCTTCCTCGTACAATATCTCTTCACGCATTAATAGTTTGCCTATTGACTTAAAATTTCATATATGTATACAAAGTGGTTATTAAATTATTTTGCATGACCAAATTTCAGTGGTTGGAAGTAATTCAATTACGAGTAATTCATTACTGTAATTCAATTCCTTTTCAAGTAATGAGTAATTGTAATGCATTACTTTTTATCATAATATACATAAGCTCTTCATCATTTTACGGGTGAGCTAAAGCATATTCCAGCATAGGGAAATAGTGAAATACATATAAACTTCAGCCCGAGTTTTTGCCAAAAGTATACGTCCGATTGTAATAAACTTCAGACCGTTGAAATGAGCGTAAAAACCCTACCCAAACTGCTCTTCCGTTTTTTAAATTTTGTTGTCAAAAAAACTGCAATAGTAGAAATTGTATTAAAAAATCCATTGCGCTTGACAGAAATAAAATATCTTAATTAAGTAAACAGGGGCAGAATTTTAAAATTTGTGGTCAAACAAACTTTAGCCATTTTCCTCCATAAGTTAAGATAAAGACATGTATGTACTGTTAAAGTACTGTTACGAAATAAACCCACGCGCCGCCCCGGTACGACGATTATGGGTTTTCTAGTATATATACGGCGATGATAGGTGACGAGCGGCGTTCGCTAAAGAAAAACCTGGAAGCGAAAGTCGCGATGGGTATTCCAGAAAGACCTCGATCGCGAAACCTCTAGAAGGAAGTATGAGTTTAAATAGAGGCCACTTTCGGGAACGAGCATTATTCAATCAACGAGTCCAGTCCAGTGAATGTTGAGAATCCAGTCAAGCTGCACCGGAATTATTTTGTACATAATCGCTGTGTGTAATTAGTCGTGTAAATTTGAGTTACTAAGAAATAAATTGTAACGTAACAGTACAGATAAACGAGCATGCTATGCGTAAGAATATTTCAAGTGAGTTTTTCCATAACGGAATTTTGTGATGTTGTATCAACAGTTTAGTAAGGACGCGTGTATCAGTTTGAATAGATGCAATGTAAACTAGTAAAAATACTTACAGTACTTAGTCAAATTTTCCAGAAAATTGGATGAACCGTCTTTAATTTGATCAAGACAATAAACTGCTTCATTCATTAATTTTTTTGAGTCACCCTAAATAAGTAATTTTAAAAAATTAGGCGAATATTATTTCGACAGAACTTTTCTCGCCCTTGAAGTATAATCTCTAAAGTAAAAACCAGCGACATAAATAACATCCCCGCAGCTTCTGCACCGTACGGACAATGTAAAATATATTTAAGGCACATAACTAACTGGATAAAATGTCCGTCAGCACTAGGTAATAGTTAATCTGAAGCTCAAATGTTTATGTTTATACATCGACACAATGTCACGTAGAAATTAGTTTGTCTTCTCAAAACAGAAAACTAGAATTACTTAAAATTAAACTACAATGGAACAAAATGTTCTGAATATTATAATTTTTATTATATCATTATTATATAAAAAGATGTTACAAACTATCGTCCTATTTCGATTATAGCAGCTTTATGCAAGGGACTCGAAGCAATCATCAGTGACACATTAACTAGATCTTATGCAAAGGTTTTGACACCTCATCAGCATGGATTTCTGCCAGGAAAAAGCACAGTAACAAATCTCGCCATCTACAATGAATATATCATTGATGCGTTAGAGGAGGCAGCTCAAGTCGACGCTGTATATCTAGATTTCTGTAAAGCTTTCGACAGAGTCAACCATGCCCTTCTTTTAAAGAAATTAAAGATTTATGGCATACGAGGTTCTCTTCACCGCTGGTTAGCTTCTTACCTATTAAATCGTACCCAAAAAATCTCAGTTAAAGGCTTTTTATCAGATGCTATTTCTATTCCCTCGGGAGTCCCACAAGGCAGTCACATCGGTCCTATTTTATTTTTAATATTCATAAATGACCTGGCACTATCACTTAATTTTGTTAGATTTTTATTCTTTGCGGACGATCTTAAAATATTCATTAAAGTTAACGACCTTGCAGATTGTCAAGCTATGCAATATACTCTTATAAAAATAACCAACTGGTGTAGTGAAAATAGCATGCAATTAAATAACAAAAAGTGTAAACAAATAACATTCTCCAGGAAACAATCCACTATAAAATTTTCATATAGCATTGATAGCCAAATCCTGGAGGCTGTTAGTGAAATTAGGGACTTGGGGATCATTTTTAATTCGACTTTAAGTTTTGTTAAGCATATAGATTATGTAATCGATAAGTCTTTTCGAGTTAGTGGTTTCATAAGAAGAATGACTGCAGATTTCCATAGCATCATAGCAATTCGTAAGCTCTATATTACCATGGTTAGACCAATTTTAGAATATGGCATTCTTATATGGTTTCCTTCATATGCAATTCACGAAACTCGCCTCGAAAGGGTACAAAGAAAGTTCTGTAATTATTTAATGTTTAAAATGGGTCTCAATAAATCAAATTATAATTATAATCAAAGACTTGCTAAACTAGAGACTCTTACACAACGTAAGTTAAAATTTGAGCTTCTTAAGTTTGCATATAAACTGTTCAATAATCAAATTGATAGTGCCGAATTCTTATCCTTATTTAATTTTAGAGTACCTTTGGTACATACTAGGAACCAGGACACAATCTTATGTTCGATTAAAAGAACAAATCTCGGTTACAACACTTCTGTAGTAAATAAAATAGGATTGGTGGTTAATAACTTAGTAGATAAAGATATCTTCAGTTGCTCGTAAAATATGTTTAACAATTATTTAAGACGTTTGTAGTTATAAGGACATCTTATTTCATATTTTGTTTTTTAAAACTATTGTCTATTTTGGAACTTTGTTCTGTTAGTCAATAAAATTTATTTATTTATTTATTATTTATTTATTTATAAAAACATGCGTATTCTCACTCGTTCTTAACTTGACCAATAAAAAATTTGTTATTATGTCATAAACATCGATACACAATAATGTGAGAGAAAGAGAAAAAAGGCCAAGCTTGGCAGCGAACCCGAGACCTCCGGTCCGCATTCAGCACTCTTATCCACTAGATCACTATCGGCATGTCTTGCGCTAATGATAAACTGCCATTATTTTCAGAAAATTTGCACGGTTGGGGAAAAAACTCAAAGCGGAATCGTACACCACACGTTTAGGAGTTTATTGTTGTGTAACAGTTAATCCTTTGAAATGACGTCATCAAATTGTTTGTATGGATGATTAGCAAAATTTTGGCCAGCATTTAACAATCTATGATATTTCTAACATACATATAAAATTTGATAACAATCGGTCCAACAGTTTCGGAGATTACGTGTCTAATAAAAATGGATACAGACACCAGACAGACAGACGGAAACAGAAGACTACTTTTTTCGTACTGTAGGAGTCATGAAACGTCGAGAGAACATAAAAGTGCCCATTTGTTCGATGGACTCGATTACACTTCTACACTTCCTTAGCTTAGGCCCGGGAAGTAAAAATATTTGGAGCGATAAACCATAAGAATCAATTCATTTATTCACAATCGGTATGTAATATGTCATTTGCCAACTTTTTGAAGTTTGAAAGTGAGCAATTGTTTGTCATCTTTACGAACCTCGTTGGAGGTCGGCAAATTTTTTGCGAACCTCCACGCCAGTGAAGGTCGCTCTGTAGTATTGTTTGATTTTGAAATAAATTGTTTCTTAGATAAACACCCACTTCTACCCCAGCGTATGGTTGGAAAACAACCTAAATAAAGCTACAGGTACCCATAACAAGTCTGAAGACATTTTACTTAGCGTATTTGCCTCAAATAATTTAATAAAAAACTCGACAAATTATAATGTCAAGTTTGACGTGGAACGCCTGCTATTATAATTATAAAATGAGTGAAGTGAATTTTTATTTACATTTATTTTTATTCATAATGATTGTGAATAAAATAGTATACATACACTCGGTGGAAGTGTTTCATTCCCGTCTCACGTCTGTCGTTGACCTCGACGCGTCTCGGTCCAACAATATGGCGTTCGACGGTAATGGAACACTTCCCGCCTCGGTATGTAATATACTATTACATATTTTAGATAAGATTTATTCAACAAAATTTTGAACAACTGTTTGCCATACTTATTAAAACGTTTGTAATATTTCCGAGTTTTCGGTTTCGAAATTTCAAAGTAAAACTGTTGTTGCACAATTTTGATTTTGTCTCCAAAAATTTGGATGTCTCAACACGAGAGTCAAAAACCTACAAGTGCAGGAGTATCTTATTTTATGAAATTTAAATAAGATTTACTATTGTAAATTTTGGTAGTAACGATTAGCCAAATTTTGTTTAGCGTTTTACCATCTACCATATTGTTCTAAAATACATATAAAGTTTGATAACAATGGGACGAGTAGTTTCGGAGATTATCTTCTAATAAATATCGACACAGACAGACGACAGACAGACGACAGACAGACGGAAACGGGGGACCTATTTTTTCGTACTCTAGGAATCATGAAATGTCGAAAAAACACAAATCCAGCCAGTCACCCGATGGAGTTTATTCGGTACTGAAACCGAAGTGTCACTGACGAGTTTCAACCACCATCCGCCAACTCTTGGCACTTAACATTAATATCTCGCACCGCTGAATGCGGTTATAAATGCAGTATAACATGTAACCAAGAACACAATAAACCATCGAACACGTGTCTTATTCGTGCCTTAAAAACATTTTTTGGTCCAATTGAGCCGGATATCGTGCTCCAAATAAATAGTTATAAATCACGAATAGAGAAAATGTACCTATGCATTAAGCACAATTATTATTTAAATATTTGATTATTTATTCTTAGTTATTCACATTATAACAACCCTCATTTATCATTTAATAAATTACTTTACAATATTTATTTTATAATTCACAATTATTCACTTATCTATATATATAAAAATCAATTGCTGTTCGTTAGTCTCGCTAAAACTCGAGAACGGCTGAACGGATTTATCTTATCTTGGTTTTGAAATATCCGTGGAGGTCTAGGGAAGATTTAAAAGGTGAGAAAAATTCGAATAATTGCCGGTAAAACCCTAAAAACAGCACTTTTCTTCTTGACAACCAAGTGACAATCTTTTATTTCTAAAAAGACAAAAGACATCAAATGTTTCACAGTTCAGAACATGTTGTATTGGAAAATAGAATTTCTGTGTTTAGTATTTTTGTTTCTCACCGTTTAAACCTTCTCTGAATTTCCATAAATATTTCAAGACCAAACTCTCAGCTAAAAGATAAAAAAATTCTAAAAATTTTGCAATTTTGACGGACCTGTCGTCTAACTGACGTGTCATACAAAACTAATTCTTCCGTGCGATTGTGAAAAGTATATTGCATTTCAAGTCATTCTTTGTTTTTTCGTAAAAAAAAAAGCCGTTTATTTTAAGAAAAGTCTTGGTTAAAGTGAATTTAGTTACACATTGCGAAAGTGTCTTATTAATTTTGATCTGCCATTCTATTTACCTATAGTCACTTGGTTGGTTTCGACAAAACCTCAAACTTTACCGTTATTCGAGGATTTAATTTGAAGTTTTCAATATTTTAAAATTCTCAAGACAAAATTTACAGATTTGATTGACTGTGAAAATAATTCTGTGTCGTTTTATGAAGTTCATTACAATGCCGAGAAGACAAGTTGACACAGGTCCACGAAGTCAATCCGCAATGAATTATTTCATGGGTAATTCGGATATGGAAGTTGATCAGCGTTGTGCTCATAATCAACATAATCAAACATTGAAGCGAGACATTGGGTGGTATGAATAAAACTGAATAGATACTCATATTCGAAGTACGAAGTACCTACTTCATTATTACTCTTATATACCTGCGCATCTACTCTATGTACTGAGTACCTACTTGAAAACATTGCATCTCCCCTGACACAAATTGAACATCTGCCTATGCGTTTTGTGAGCATTTAATCTAAAAATGAGCATCGGCGTGGCAAATGACTGAGCTGTCTGTAAAGCAGCTTAGAAAACGAGTAGGATCGTTGTAAGAGTGAATTTTGACTAAACATGGATACTTTCATGAACGTGGAACGTCGTCAAAAGGTGCATTCAGTTTGAAAAACACATTAGGAGCGGGAATATCGAAAATTTTTCAGGTAATTGACTTTTATTTATTCATAAATTGTGCAGTGCGTTTTTTCTAACAGAAAGATTCCCATCTCAAGGTGTCTACCCCATACTAACTTATATTTTGGTGACTCGAGTTTTGCCTTGATGAACACTGTCACTGTTTTCCTTTTTTGTTACATCGAGATGCTACTTGAGCATCATTTGTTACGTACTGAAGTATTAGCATTATATAGAAAAACTAGAAATATTTTGATTTGATATTCGAGTAGATACTTCGTATTTCGAGTATGAGCATCTACTGAGTTTTATTTATATCAACCATTGTCAAAAAACTGATCGACCGTTGTTTCGACAGAACTTCCTTCGCACCAAAAGTATAATGAAACATATTCAGCATTTTCAAGTTGAGTCTTTTCTTCGCACAATTTTGTGATGACCTAATCAACATTTACGATCAACACGTATACCACCTTGGATTGGTGCAGTGTAATACTAAAAATAACTGTATTGTATTCCCAAAATTATCTGCGAAAATCGAGTAAGCCGTTCCATCAATTTTTTAGGGGGAGTAAATAACTATTCTTAACAATTTACCATGCTTACAATAATTTTAAAACGTCTGCAAGATCTCAAAGTATGTATTTATTTCTGCAACTTGAGTTATTCTCTAAAATAAATTGACTGATCCATACATTTTTTTGAGTCACTGTAAAAGCAAATCTAAAAAATATGAATACAATGATAAATTACGAAAATATACTGATGATATTTTGCACATTTTAGATATGATTTATTCGGCAAAATCTTGAGATGACGTCATCAAGTTTTTGGGCTTGATTAAAAACCTACCATGTCAAACAGTAACTTCAAAACGTCTGCAATATTTCAAAATTCAATTTTGCAATTCTTGATTCAATCAATAAAATACATTGACTCAGTAATTAATTTTTTTGAGACACCCCCTATAAGCAAAACTAAAAAATATGAATGGAATGATAAATCACAAGTATAGTCTCATCCTATTTTGGACATTTTAGATAGGATTCATTTGGCAAAATTTTGGGCTGACGCCATCAATTTTTTGGAAGGAATAAGTAAATATATTTTGAATAAAAATTTGTTATGCTTATCATATGTTTAAAACATCTGCAAGATTTCAACGAAATCGGTTTTGCAGATTCAAAATTAAATTGTAGGTGAAACGAAGTTCACAGGGTCTAGTAATTTATATATTAACTTATAGATTAATTACAACTTATTGGTAGAGCGCGATTATGACACACGAATAATTCTACACGACGGATAAATGTTTAAAAAACGAAATAGATTTGGCTCTAGTGAGGCAAATGGTTGACCGAGTTGACAGAAATTGATCCATATTATCATGTATACCTATTATGGATGGTATAAAATTTTGTGGTAGTCATCAAATCAGAATCCGTGAACAAATATTTAGAGATTGTAGCAGATTTCGAAAATTACAGAAAAGTCGTAGTGAACTATTTTCGGAAGTGTGTGTTTTCAATCGGTTTACGGTTTTTTACCATGTGATGTTTCCAGAAGAATAACAAAGTGAAGACAGCGACACAGAAGATTTTTTTAAGAGCTCGGATGCAGCTTAGTGATACTGAAAAATTCAAAAACGAGATGCGAGGTGACATATGTAGTGACGGCTAACATGTTTCGGGACCTAGTGGTATCATCATCTGTGCTAAATGATGAACAGGAATTAGCTTACAAAAAACTTTATTAAAGTTAATACACTTACTTAAAGTACAAAACTTAGTGAATACATAATTACACAAATTATGCTTGAGAAATAATGTTAACAACAACCTCCAGGTCTAACTATGAAATGAAAGAACCAGTCATTACCAACAGTTTTTCGAATGTCGAAGGTATGGGTGTTTTTTCAATTACTTGTGGCAAGTTTAACTAACCAATGAAAAGTCTAATGATGAAGAAGGCCCCACTTGCTGTAAAAAAAAACAACGCTTTGACAATGACATACCTCACAAGTTCTCAAACTGTGAAAATTTGTCACATTATTACGAAACAAACGATTACATATATCTGAGTTCACAAAATATCTTTCAGCCCCTCTTTTAATCATCCTACAAAATTTTGAAGCATTGTTACAATTAGTGGCAATTATCTAACTTGTTTAAGCTTGTATGTACATGTTGGAATCGTTTATCTTCTTATCTTAAACCTAATGTTTTGATGTTCTTATAAATAGACACTCAAAATGAACGAGTCCAAACTTAATTCAGCAGCAAAATGTTTCTAGTGCTGGTGTTAATTTCATTATTATCCTGTTCTTCAGGTAAGTACTTGAAGAAAAAAAAAAGACAAATATATTCTTTGTTCTTTATTAGAAACTCCAACAATAAGCGATGGTAGAATTGTTGGAGGTCACGATATTCCAATCGAAGAAGTACCTTACCAAGTTTCTCTACAATACAACAACTCACATTATTGCGGAGGCACCGTCATAGCAGCCAACTACATTCTCACCACTGCACACTGCGTAGAAAGGTATTTATAGCTCAAACCAAAATATCTAATAAATTACATACGTAAACTTTAACAGCACACTTGAATACCCTTGGTCAATCCGCGCAGGTACCTCTATTCGCGAAGATGGTGGTCAAGTAATAACTGTGAGAACACTCACCATGCACCCCTTATATAACCGCGATAACGGATCTCCCGACTACGACATCGCCGTTTTAGAACTAACAGCAAATTTGCAGTTAGGTCTCCAAGTAGCCGTCATAAGTCTTCCGTCTGAAAATCAAACGTGGCCAGCTGGTACTGATGCTCTTATTAGTGGCTGGGGGCTTACAGAGAATTCCACAAAAGCTCTTAATTTACAAGGTGCTACAGTTCAACTCATTGATAGAAATTCTTGTGTAGCTGTTTATGGTTATTTTGTGACTGATCGTATGTTTTGCGCTGGAGTTGATGGAGGCGGAATCGACGCATGCGACGCTGATTCTGGGGGTGCATTACAAATAGAAGGTATTTTAGTGGGACTCATCTCTTTTGGAGTGGGTTGTGGACGTCCTGATTATCCGGGAGTTTACACCAACGTTAGTGTTCTTTTAGACTTTATCCAGGACGTGACTGGTTTGTAAACATAAAGATGAAGTCCTGATCTGTATAATAGCATTAGTATTACACTGATAGGTACTAGATCCCATGTAAATAAAATATTTAAACTGTGAAAAAATCAATATATTATTTAAAATTTAATGTCTATTACGCAGTGTATTATGACCTCCAAACGACGATACATGGGACCAAAACATCTCTGCCGAGTCAAGTGGTTGTGTTTAAAAATAATGATTTGTTGTTATCTTTATAATTAAAATACAATTATATTGTGAAAATAAGTTGATTCTTGGCGAAAAATATGTATACTTTACTATAGTACCACCCATATACCATATATGGGTGAAATCACCTCGTTGTTGGGTGGATTATTTCATTTATAACAACTTTTTTAAAATATTGTCAAATATTGTACTGCCTCAGAAATTACAACGATAATAATAATCTACTTTAAACTGACAAATATTTTTATTGAAATTATGATGTGAAGTAGCCGAATCTAACACCCTCCTCCTAAACCAGTACTTTCGTTAATAAAATCTAAAACAACGCTAACATTGGTGTAAACTCTAGGATAACCGGGAGCAGCACAAACATATCCATATGAAACAATTCCTGCTAAAATACCATCTACTTGTAGTGGACCGCCAGAATCACCTTGGCATGAGTCGACTCCACCTCCATCAACCCCAGCACAAAACATCCTTTCCGTGATCGCCGAACCATAACTTTCCACACACTCTTCTTTATCAATGAGCTTAACGGTAGCACCCTGTAAATTAACAGGAGATGTGTTGTCGCCGTCGTGCAACACCCCCCAGCCAGTCATAAAAGCATTACTTGAGTAGGCAAACTTATGACGGCCACTTGAAATCCCAACTCTAAATTCGCTGTTAGTTCTAGAATAGCTATATCGTAATCTGGAACTCCACTTTGAGTGTTATATTTGGGATGATTATTAATCTTTTTCACTTCTATGACTTGACCACCATCCCCTCGAGTTGAAGTACCGGCTCGAACTGAAAAGTCGTCCTCGTGGTATCTGTTAAAATTTATATATACATAATGTGGTACTCTAATAACGTACTTAGGTGTATATACCCTTCAGTACAATGCCCTGCAGTGATAATGTAAGTGGGTGATATAATAGATTCTCCACAAGAATGTGCGTTATTGTTCTGTAGAGATATTTGATAAGGTGTGTAGGTAATCAGAGAAAAATGTTGTGCCTCGGTGGGATTCGAACCTGGGATTCGAACCCACGTCTCCTTGCTTTCCGGGCAGGTATGCTAACCGCTACACCACGAGACGACTTATTTAATACTCTGCTTACCGACGTGTTATTGTGCCGCCACAGGTGCTTCCTCGATGGCAATGTCGTGACCCCCAGCAATTCGACCATCACTTGCTAAACTTGCTAATGAAGAACAAATTGTATTTTTTTATTTGTAAATTTTTGTTATTCAAGTACCTACTTACCTATCGAGCATGATAGTATTGAAGTCAACACTAGCAATAGCCGCATTTTTCTGTTGAATTGAATTGGAACTCAATCATTTTGAGTGGCTATTTATAAGACCATCCAAAAAATTGGATGCAGATAAGAAGATAAACGATGCGTGTATGTGTATACTCAAACAGAACGGATAAGTATTGTTAAGTTGCCTTTTTGACCATTTATTTTTAAAAACAGGAAATGATACTAACTCTGGACAATAACACAATTAAAATATTTCAACACTGACCAGTTTTCAAGGCAACACAACATACATCTATCAGTTATTGCTAGATTCCAAAACAAACACATACGTTTGTAGAATCAACGTAGGTACTCTCCTTACTAGTTTTTGAAAGACGTCAATCAAAATATCACAAATGAAGTATTAAAAAAACACCAATTTATTAATTCAAAGAAATGTAATAAATAAATTGAACAATTAAATAAATTTAACTAGCGTAAGTACTGTTCAAAATGTCGTCCTCCCTGCGCAACACACATTTCGATGCGATTTAAGCAAGACAGCCGGACGCGGGCAAGTGTTTCAGGAGTTATTGCAGCACATGCATTTCTAATTCTGGTTTTTAAATCTTCACAATTACGAATAGGACTTTGATAAACTTGTTCTTTTACAACCCCCCAGAGGAAGAAATCTAAAGGTGTTAAGTCCGGACTAGGAGGGGGCCATGCATTTCCACTGCCTCTGCCAATCCACTTATTTGCAAACGTCTCATCAAGATAGTCCCTAGCGATTCTGTGATAATGGGGTGGTGCCCGTCCTGCTGAAACCACAGCTCTTGTCGGAGGTTGAGAGGAACATTTTCTATTAAGACTGGAAAATCATTTTCCAAAAATTGTCGATACCTGTGTCCTCTGTTAAGTTGCCTTCGAAGAAGTATGGGCTAATTACGTAATATGCCATAATACCAGTCCACATATTTATGGAATAAACATATTTTGAAAATGTGCTGTTCTGATCCATTGAAATTTGGTCAGGGTCTCGTTATTGTAATATTCGCAGTGTGAGAGCAATACTCACGTACTTAAAACGAGCGTGTTTTGAGTAATGATGATTTAAAATTCTCAAGTTTTTATATATTATTTGTATCTTAAATACCAAAGGCTTCGAAATACATTATAGTCGTATTGTCAATCTATTATTAATCGTGTTTTTATTCCTTTAGAGTAGAACCTTCTACTCGTTATAGAAAACAAGAAATTTTGACTTACGTGACTATTGCACTGCTACACCATATCAAATATTTTGGCTTGCGTGTTAATAAATTTAAGATAAGAACAAACTAGCAACACATTGTAATGAAAAATATATAACAAAACACAAAACGATCACAGTATTAATTCATTCAACATCTACACTGACCGGCAAAAATACCGGTCACCCTGAAAAATTTCGCAAAACCACTTTAAAACTTAATTTAACTAGTGATCGTTATTTTATTAAAGAATCATTCATTATTGACACATGATGTACAAATTAGCACAAAAAAGAAGACAATTAAACGCAGAATTAAATTTAATTTAGCAAAATAACAGAAACAGACCAAGTACGATATTTTCTTAAAAAAAAAAACAATAAAGGAGGCTGTTGTTGTAAATAGTGTTTTTCATCTTTGATTATAAATTTGGCAATTAATAAACGTTTTCACGCGAAAATAATTCCGTTAATTCTTACAGACGTCTTTCAAAGTGTCGCTCTGTTTCTGTTATTTTGTTAAATTAAATTTAATTCTGCGTTTAATTGGCTTCTTTTTTTTTGCTAATTTATACCTTATATGTCAATAGTAAATGGTTCTTTAGTAAAATAACAATCACTAGTTAAATTAATAATTTTTAAAGCTTCGTTTTGCGAAAGTTTTCAGGGTGGCTGGTTTTTTTTTACCGGTCAGTGTACTGCGGCTAGATTGTTATAAAATAATTAATTCAGTCCATCATATTTTTTACGTATTACTAAAGGACCTTCATAAATATTGTTTAATCATTTTCATTTAAGTCTGATGCCGCCGTTGTCGTGATGTTCGGGAATTGATTGACTATTATTTCCTGATATAGGTACTTCCTTTCTATACGAAGTTACAAAATTCCATAGGGATTTTTGACAAATTTAAAATTTTTTATTTCGCTCTAATTAACTTTCCTACTTTTCCTATTCAAATAAAAATTGATTTCCATGTTTTCGGTCAATTCTCAACTATATCAGAAGACATTGTGCATTTGTTGTGTTCAACTTGTACCTAAATTAGTAGGAGTATCAGATTATCAACATCGACTGAAATCTCATAGCTTCATAGCTTACGTGGATCTCACTTAGTTTTGAGATACGGCAGTCTTGCATTAAGTGCACACGTAATGTTCGGAAATGCAATACAAACATTTTGATGAATTTGAGCATTACGCAACTATTAAAAACCGTTTATACTTACACTAGCTGACCCCGTGAACTTCGTTTCACCTACAATTTAATTTTGAATCTGCAAAATCGAATGCTTTGAAATCTTGCAGATGTTTTAAACATATGATGAGCATAATAAATTTTTATTCAAAATATATTTACTTATCCCCTCCAAAAAATTGATGACGTCAGCCCAAAATTTTGCCAAATGAATCCTATCTAAAATGTCCAAAATAGGATGAGACTATAGTATACTTGTGATTTATCATTCCATTCATATTTTTTAGTTTTGCTTATAGGGGGTGTTTCAAAAAAATTAATCACTGAGTCAATTTATTTTATTGATTGAATCAAGAATTGCAAAACTGAATTTTGAAATATTGCAGACGTTTTGAAGTTACTGTTTGACATGGTAGGTTTTCAATCAAAATATATCTGTTTATCAAGCCCAAAAACTTGAAGACGTCATCTCAAAATTTTGCCGAATAAATCCTATCTAAAATGTGGAAAACATCATCAGTATATTTTCGTAATTTATCATTGCATTCATATTTTTTAGATTTGCTTTTACAGTGACTCAAAAAAATATATGGATCAGTCAATTTATTTTAGTGAATAACTCAAGAGTTGCAAAAATAAATACTTTGAGATCTTGCAGACGTTTTTTAAAGTTATTGTAAGCATGGTAAATTCTTGAGAATATTTATTTATTCCCCTCAAAAAATTGATGGAATGGCTCACTCGATTTTCGCAGATAATGTTGGAAATACAATACAGTTATTTTTAGTATTACACTGCACCAATCCAAGGTGGTATACGTGTTGATAGTAAATGTTGATTAGGTCATCACAAAATTGTGTGAAGAACAGACTCAACTCGAAAATGCTGAATGGGTTTCATTATACTTTTGGTGCGAAGGAAGTTCTGTCGAAACAACGTTCGATCAATTTTTTGACAATGGTTGATATAAATAAAACTCAGTAGATGCTCATACTCGAAATACGAAGTATCTACTCGAATATCAAATCAAAATATTTCTAGTTTTTCTAGATGATACTAATAATTCAGTAAGTAACAGTTGATGCTCAAGTAGCATCTCGATATAACAAAAAAGGACAACAGTGACAGTGTTCAACCATCAAGGCAAAAATCGAGTCACCAAAATATAAGTGAGCATGGGGTAGACACCTTGAGATGCGATTCTCTATAGCCAGTGTTAGAAAAAACGCACTGCACAATTTATGCATAAATAAAAGTTAATTACATGAAAAGTTTTCGATATTCCTGCTCCTAATGTGTTTTTCAAACTGAATGCACCTTTTGACGACGTTCCACGTTCATGAAAGTCACTATGTTTAGTTAAAATTCACTCTTACAACGATCCTACTGGATTTCTAAGCTGCTTTACAGACAGCTCAGTTATTTGCCACGCCGATGCTCATTTTTAGATTAAATGCTCACAAAACGCGTAGATGTTCAGTTTGTATCCGGGGAGATACAGTGTTTCCAAGTAGGTACTCAGTACATAGAGTAGATGCTCAGGTATATAAGACTAATAATGAAGTAGGTACTTCGTACTTCGAATATGAGTATCTACTCAGTTTTATTCATACCACCCAATGTCTCGCTTTAATGTTTGATTATGTTGATTATTATGAGCACAACGCTGATCAACTTCCATATGCGAATTACCCATGAAATAAATCATTGCGGTTTGCACCTGAGGTAGTTCGTCACACATTTGATTGACTTCGTGGACCTATGTGAGCTTGTCGTCTTCTCAGCATTTTAATGAATTTCATAAAACGACACAGAATTATTTTCACAGTCAATCAAATCTGTAAATTTTGTCTTGAGAATTTTAAAATATTGAAAACTCCAAATTAAATCCTCGAATAACGGTAAAGTTTGAGGTTTTGTCGAAACCAACAAAGTGAATATAGGTAAAAAGAATGGCATATCAAAATGAATAAGAAACTTTCGCAATGTGTAATTAAATTCACTTTAACCAAGACTTTTCTTAAAATAAACGACGTTTTTTTTTTACGAAAAAACAAAGAACTATTTGAAATGCAATATACTTTTCACAATCGCACGGAAGAATTAGTTTTGTATGACACGTCACTTAGACGACAGGTCCGTCAGAAACGCCAACTATTGAAATTAATTCGAAGGGCGATTCCCATACAAAATTTTTAGAATTTTTTTATTTTTTAACTGTTCTTTTAAGTTATCCTTATTTTTTTTTATTTATAAACCATCCCCGTAATATAAAAAAAATTTCAAATCGGTCAAGCCGTTTTTGAGTCTAAGCGAGACTAACAGAACAGCAATTGATTTTTATTTTATAGACGATTAAAAAATGGGGGTTGGTGGTAGAAAGGTGAAAATTTAGGGTTATGTGTATTTTTTGATGCCAAATCTTAAAAAAATAAAAATAAAAAATTTTGTCCAAAAAATAGACAAACATTTTTTAGGGTGGGCCACCCTTATCACTTAGGGGTTTAAAAAATAGTTTAGAACTTATTGTCAGACCTACCGAATATGCATAAAAAATTTCATACAAATCGGTCAACCCATTTCGGAGAAGTTCGGTTACAAACACTGTGACGCGAGAATTTTATACATAATGCATTATTATTTTAGAACAAATTTCATTACTATAAAAAAGGTTATACTGACTCGACCTTAAAAGATAGACATATGCTGTCGCGGACTTTTCTTTAGATCTTTTAGAGGGGAACAATTTCGTCATAAATGATTTTCACGTAACTTTAACCGTTTAAGCAGCGTAAGCAACGGAAGCTCTCAAAGGAGGAATAATTTTCCCGTTTTTCCGAATTTTTCATTGCTACTTCGCTCCTAATTATCGTAGCGTGATGTTATATAGCCTATATGTAGATATGATACATGGATTATCCAACACAAAAAGATTTTAGTAGTTTCTGAGATAAGCGTGTTCAAATAAACAAAAGCTTCAGCTTTATTATATAAGTATAGATATACTAAAACTACATTAACTGTTTTATGCATTAATGATAAATTTAAGAATTCGGCAAATTTTGACTTACGTGAGTATTGTTCTCACAGTGCGATATATACAACAAGCAGTTCAATTTTGAATCCGCAAAACCGAATGCTCTGAAATCTTGCAGACGTTTTAAAGTTATCATTAGCATGGTAAATTTCAAAATCAAAATATAAAAAATCAAAAACATAATCAAATGATTAAGGGACGAGAATAAAATTAATAATCAAATTTTATAGCTTTTCGAAAATGCTGAACAGTTTTATTATACTTCAGGTACGAGGGAAGTTCTGCCAAAACAACCTTCAACCAATTTTTTAACTCTTAATATTAATGTAACTTTGCACTCTTTGTAGAAGGTCAAGATAATAGTGAAGATAACACTATAATATTATTTCCAATTATTGTACAATCAAGTAAACTTTTATAGTTTTACATTAACAAGTGAAGTGTAGATAGGGAAGTTAGTACTTAAGTATATATGTAAATATATATTTTTTTTGTAATACTTTAGAGAACAATAACTGATCTTGATTGTATGATACTATTGTTAATACATCAATCTTGTGTTCCATTCATCTTGTTGTTTTTTGATACGTTTTATAATAATCTTTTTTTTAATAATCATCATAATTGTTTACAATGATTCGGCTCTTATACAAGGTGATTGCGAAATATACCCCACACCATAGCTCACAATATGATTACGTCACGGGCAAAAATTCACGGTCCTAAGTGGTAGCAGTGTCTAGAAAAAATTATTTGAAATTACATGTAAATTGTAATACGCGCCGCTGGTAATGTTTCGTGACCTACATAATTACTACAATGAATGGGCAGACGACTCGGATTAAGAACCAAAAAAGTAACTTTATCAGGCACTTTTTTACTCGCAACGTGAAAAACACGAAAAGGGCCAGTCATAATCGAGCGGTCGTTGAACTCGGTATATGGTCAGTGAGTATAGATGTTAAACATATAGTCACTGGTATGGTCCAGTTTTCCAATGCAGAGTGTGTCGATATGGTAATTAGTGTGCGCGAACATTTGCATCAGTGGTACAGCATCTGCGAGATCATGGTACCTTCAAGCTCAAACTCACGATCGTCGTCGTGATGGGCCAGAAAGAAGAAATTGGATTTTCCCAGCTTGTAGTGCATCCTACATTAAAAGAACACGGTCAGATCCATACCATGTTCACAAAGTGCACGGTTTGGAGCCCGCTGATTATCCAGGTTGTGTAACTCACTTTTTGTCCGATGGAACTCCACATAGTCGTCAACAAGTACGATTTCAAGAGACGGTTTTCGAGAAAGGTGTATTGGTTGGATGAAACAATTCGTTTGTGGAAATCAACAGTGTCCAGAAATTATCGAAGAGCTTCAATAAGTGAAAGTGGCAGCCGCTACTCCCGTGTTTTTTTACCTATCAACAAACCTCTTGCGACGCTCTGACGCTTGTATTGCTAGTCAAGGACAACATATTCAACATTTATTGTAAAAAGGTAGTAACATTCTAAGTTGCTCTTATTTCTGTTCCAATAAACAATGTAAAATCGTTGTGCCAAGGACCAAACATCCGTCAGAATCAAAATTACCAAAAAACTTTCACAATGACCTTTAACGATGAATGAGTAAATGAATGAACGAATGATAAGCACCAAAAAGTCGGTTTTACTTTTAATTGAAACTGAAAGTGTTTAGGTCGTTTTTATTCGAACGTTTTTCTAACTCTGTGTACAAGGTGGCTCAGTGCCTTCGTATCGAGGGTGGTTCATGGGGGTTTTGCCCCATCCGATTTTTAATTTGTTTTTTCTATATTTCGGCTCTACTAGGGTGGGGGATGCCGTGGTTAAAATATTTGCATATATTTCACAGTCACCCTGTATTTTGCTTTGGTAAGATCACGCTTAGAATACGGAGCTCTTATATGGTATCCAATATATAATGTCCATATTAATAATTTAGAGTTGGTACAGCGCAAATTCCTCAAATTTTTATGTTTTCGTTTAGACAGATTCTATCCGGAAAGAGGATTAAGTCATTTAAATTTTGTTGACTAGATTTAATTTTGTTTCGTTAAAAACAAGAAGAATTGTTACTGTCGTCAAGATTTTGTTCAATATGCTGAATAATAAAGTTATTGTGCCCCAGTTGTTCAATAAACTCAGTTTTAAAGTACCAAGAATCAACTCCTGACAGAGTACTATATTTTATTGTTCAGCGAATAGAACCAATGTTTTACGTAAATCTCCAGTTAATTTAATGTGTGACTTATGTAATGGGATAGCGGGAGTTTGTGACATAAATATTAATCCTCTTAAGATGTTGCAAAATTGTATATGGAAGTTTATGGTGTTAATTAAGTGATTAATTAGTTTAATTAATTTTTTTAGTTATAACATCATGTACCTAAGTAATGTTTTAGTTTAAATTACATCGTTCCCTGTAATTGGGTGTATATTGCCTGTTGGGAATAAAGTATTTGTTTATTTATTATTTATTTATTTATTTAACAGTTTATCAAGTAAATTACGTAAATAAATATAACGTTTTACAGTTTGTGACAACTGGTTGACATCTATGTCCTAAAAGTTATGAAGGGAATTAACGGAATTTACACCTTTTAAACATATGAACATATTGTTTATTTCATTAAATTTATTTTTTGTTATTTTTATTGTTAAAATACAATTAATTATTAAATTAAGTTGATGTTTCCACGAAAGTACTCCTTCCCGTGGTAGAAACCACCTCGCTGAATTCATTTGTGTTATCGTTTTTAAAAATATTGTCACATGTCTGTAATGCTTCAGATACCTATTCAGTAAAATTACACCTAGAACGATAAATATCTACTAACTGATAAGCAAACCCGTAGTTTCTCAATTTTTTTTTGAAATTATGCGGTTAAGTAGCCGAATTTACCACCTTCCTCCTAAACCGGTAATTTCGTTAATAAAATCTAAAACAACGCTAACATTGGTATAGACTCCAGGAGAATCAGGCAGGGCACAACCAAACCCATATGAAACAATTCCTGCTAAAATACCATCCACTTGTAGTGGACCGCCAGAATCACTTTGGCAGGAGTCGACTCCACCTCCATCAACCCCAGCACAAAACATCCTTTCGGTGATCAACCCACTATAGCTTTCTGCACATACGTTCTCATCAGTGAGTTGAACAGTAGCACCCTGTAAATTAACAGGAAGTGTGTTGTCGCCTTCATGTAGCAACCCCCAGCCAGTAATGAAGGCATCAGTGCCCGCTGGCCATTCTTGATTTTGACTTGGAAGACTTATGACAGCCACTTGAAATCCCAACTCCAAATTCGTTGATAATTCTAGAATAGCTATGTCGTAATCTGGAACTCCATTTTCAGTATTATATTTGGGGTGATTGTAAATTTTTTTGACTTCTAGTACTTGACCACCATCCTCTCGAGTTGAAGTACCGGCTCGAACTGACAACTGGTCCTCGGTGGTTCTGTTAAAATTTTAATACACGTAAGTTGGTACTGTAATAATATAATTGGAAGTATATACTCTTGGGTACAATGTGCAGCAGTGATTATATAACTGGGTGATATAATGGAACCTCCACAAGAATGTGCGTCATTGTCCTGTAGAGAAATTTGGTAAGGTGCTTCCTCGATGGTAATGTCGTGACCCCCAACAATTCGACCATCGCTTACTGTTGCACTTGCTAATGAAAAACAAATTGTATGTTTTTTGTATACTTTTTTATCTATGCACTTACCGAAAGAATGTGATAGTAATGAAGTTAACACTAGCAGGAGACGCATTTTGGCGTTGAATTAAGTTGGAACTCACTCATATTGAGTGGCTATTTATAAGACCATCCAAAAAATAGGATGCAGATAAGAAGATAAGCATTCCTGCACGTATACGCTTATAAATAAGATAGATATATGTACTGTTAAGTTGCCTTTTTGATATTTCATTGTTAAAAACAGGAAACGATAATAATTTTGGAAAATATCACAGGATACATTAGATAATCTTTTGTTCCATTCATCTTGTTATTTTTTTGATAATTCCACATTTTATAACACAACGTGTAACCGTTCTTTCTTTTGTTTTAATAATAATCATTACAATTTTTTGCAAAAATTCATCTCCCAACTTTGAGTTTTTGTGTGTTTCAACTTGTCATAAATCCTACCCATCTCAAAAAATGGTTGAATTTGGACGGAATCGCAGACCGCATCGAATTAAATATACATACATATATATATGTATAAACTTTCCAAAATCATTCCTGTTCATAAAGGCAAAATTCGAACTGCTGTTGAAAACTATTCACCTGTCTCAATTCTTAATAATTTTGCAAAAATCTTTGAATCTTTAATTTATAAACAACTGTATTTTCAAGTAGCCGCTTCAATTACAGAGCATCAACATGGCTTTATGAGTGGCCGCTCTACAGTTACAAATCTTCTTTGTGTGACACGGTTTATCGCAGACTCTATCGATTGTGGACTACAGACCGATGTAATATATCTTGATTTTTCAAAGAATTTTGACAAACTAGATCATGGTATATTAATTGATAAACTTTATGCTTTGGGCTTGAATATGCAATTAATTAGCTTTTTTGGGTCGTACTTAGGTGACAGAAAACAATATGTCCATTGCTGTGGATATGATTCTGATGTTTATCGGGAGTACCACAAGTTTCTGTACTTGGTCCGCTTCTTTTTTTATTGTTCATCAAGGATATCTCGAATGAATTAGATGTTGAATTTTTTTTATATGCAGATGACATCAAGATATACAATAGAATAAGTTCAACTGATGACTGCCTTAAGTTACAACATAATTTGAATAGGATTGTGGTATGGTGCAATTTGAACAGGCTTTTGTTAAATCAAGATAAATGTTGTGTAATGTCATTTTCTTTAAAGCAATATAATATTCACTTTGAATATGTCCTTAATGGGGTAGCCTTAGCCAGGCCTCAGACCGTTTTGGATCTTGGGGTTGTTTTTGATAGTAGGCTCACATTTGCTTATCATATTAACAAAGTTGTGGCAGACTGCATGAAAACTTTGGGTTTCATCATAAGGAACTCTAGAGATTTTCAACACTGTGACACTATCATTCGACTTTTTAATTCATTAATTGGCAGCAAACTTTACTATGCTTGCATTATTTGGTGTCCTCACCATAACATTCATTTAATGCATCTGGAACGTGTCATACGAAGGTTTCTTAAATATTTGTTTTACCGAGAGAATGGTTTTTACCCACCTATTGGTTTTCCTCAATCTGAGCTTTTGAATCGCTTCACTTTCTCCAGTTTTACGGAAACTTGTAAAAAATTCTTTGTGTTGTTCCTAGTTAAAATGATAAATAACAGTGTTGACTGTCATTTAATGCTAGCCAGATTATCATTTAATGCACGTCCTCGAAGTCTAGTATCTCGCCACTCTGAAATTTTCTACATAACTTGCTCGAGAACTGATATCGCCAAATTCTCTCCTATGTCCACTATGTGTAGGATCGGTAATAGAACACATAATAAGATCTTTTTTCAACATCACTGAGGGCTCTTAAATTCTTTAATTATTCCCAAATTTAGTAGGCTTTCACATTACTTCGTAAGTTAATTTATTATCTGAATTAACTGATCTTCTATGATTATTGATTACACGTATATTTTGACCTACCTAATCTGAAAATCTGCATTGGGATTTGGAGTAGCTTTAAACTTTTCCTTTTTGGGATTCACAGTAATTTGTAGCTGCTGATTAGTTATTCTACTTCTTACCATTTGCTTTCGGTTATTTGTTGGTCTGTAATTGGGTAAATCACCTGTTGATTCCTAAGAAAATCTTAGGAAAAAGTTCATAAACCTATGAAATTTTAAAGCAACAAAATTTGTTCAATTTTGACAATTGACAACTTCCATAAATATATACAGCAGTTACAACATCTCAAACATTAAATATTTCCGAATGAAATTTGCAAAATAATTAGCAACCATTAATTACTTACACACATGTTCAAATTACATATAGTACCAACCAAACGAGGAATCACATTCATTAAACCCCCAAACGTAAGATTAAAATTCGCAAATTATTATCAAATATCACTACGTGTGTCAGATACTGCGCACAACATGTTCAGAATACCACATCCATAAAAATCGCAAATCTTACTTAAATTCATCAAAATCGGTATTCCAGCTAAAACATTAGCAGGCGAAATCCAGACACATAAATCTTCAGAAAAAACAGAGACAAAAAACACTTCACGACGAGTCGAGCTGGTGCAACGAAAAAATATGACACACCACAAAAGTACCATAAATTAGAGCACTTTACGAACCGACGAGAACTCATGTAAATTCGAAAGATTTTCGTAATCCTTAATGAAGCTCCAAATACGGTCTAAATCGCAAGTACATTTTTAAAATCAGAAAAATTAGTGCACAGCGTCTCTTTTATTTATAAACTTATACATGGTAAAATCTCCAGTTCTGACATTCTACAGAAAATTAATTTTGTTGTGCCAAGACTTGAGACGAGACATAAATATACATTTCAATTACCAGTATATAGGACACATGTAGGGTTGAAATCGCCAATGCACAATTGCTACGGAATTAGCAGTAGAGTTGATATATTTTACGATAATTGGAAACAAATTGTTAAGAGTTTAAGACAGGTGTATTTAAAGGTTCTTTAGATTTTAGTAGTTGGGTTTTTATATCTGATCGGTTTGCCGCCCGTTTTTGGAATTTTTCTGTAGGGCGCTACATTAATAATAATAATAATAATATTAATAAGTACATCTTAGTGATAAATCAAGCACAAGGTGGCATTAATGGGGCAGCTCACACCATTAAACTGTCGCCTGAGATAAAATAAATGGGCTAGAATCCCCATCAAAGCGGAAGCACCTGAAGCTAAATTCAGTCAAGTCTCGAGATGCCTTCGGTTGTCCTATCGGTGTGATATACAATTTTTCTCCAAGGCGAATCGCTGCCCGAATTTCTGCTGAATTTTGAAGAAAGCTGAACTTAGAAAAATTAGCTGACTTCCAACTTAGAAACATTTACATGTTGTGTTTGTGTAAGTCTACCTTCAAGTCATACATGAATTTATCTTCGCTCTCGTGCTACGTGCTATATTTTTTGTCGGTGGTCTCCGATGCGTAACACTTTTTGAGATTTAGAGGTAGTAAATAGCTCGAAGACCATGCATGTAATCTATTAAGGTCAACTTGCAATTCCATTGCGTCACTCATAGATTGAACAAATTTAAATAGCTTCAAATCGTTAGCATATAATAAAAAATTCGAATTGTGAAAGCAAGATGTTATGTCATTAATAAATAACAAGAACAAAATAGGAACAAAATAGGACCACAATGTGAACCTCGTGGGGGTTACAGAAAAGGGAATAGATAAGTGATTCCCAATTCTCGCCTGTTGCTGTCTATTACTTAAAGTCTTAAGAATGACGCTAACCACTTTATAGTGTTGTTATTAAAACCGTATTTGGATAACTTAAAAAGTAGCAAGTTATGATTTACTTTATCGAACGCTTTAGAGAAATCGGTATACACAGCATCAACTTGGAGTTTATGGGCAAAAGCATCATTATGAAAAGAATAGTATTCTATTAAGTTCGACAGAGTTGATCTATTTTTAACGAAACCATGTTGTTTTTCAGAAATTATGCAGGACGACATACACTGCAATTGTTTAGACACTATGAAGTCAAAAATTTTTGCAATAACACACTCCTCTGTAATTATCAGTTCTATTCGGTTCACCAGTTTTAAAGATAGGGATAATATAACTGTATTTCTAAACTTTAGGAAATTTACATTCATTTAGAGACGACTGAAATAACAAAATCAATGGAAGAGAAATTGTGAAGACACAGTTTTTTATGAGAATGCTTGGAATCCCATCTGGACCATAATTGGAGGAGGATTTTATTTTGGAAAGATGCTCAAACACCTCAGCAATAGACACCTTTAAACCATGATCATTTACTTCCATATCCGGAACAAAATTAAGGTTGAAATTCCGATTGTCCTTTCATATACAGAAGAAAAAAACTGAGCGAATAAGTTGGAAATTGCATTTCCACCTTTTGCACGTTCTTGATTAAAAACCATTTCCTCTAGAATACCATCGCATTTATTTTTATCCTTAATAAATTTCCAAAAGTATTGAGGGTTCCTCGACAAACTATTGTTAACTTTAGTCAAATATGACTTATAGAGATCTGTATTAAGTTCTTTGCAGTGATCCCTCGACGATCTAAAATAAAGGTAATCCTCAATCGTGCCCGATTTACGAAATGAGCTGCTCTTTTCTTACGAATCTATATTGAACCATCTAGGATATGATGAACCATTCAATTTAACAGTTTTTATTGGAATATATCTATTGATCTCATAGAAGAGAATACCATAAAAAACTGAAACTTTATCATCCACATCCAGACCGACAAAACAACTTTCCCAATCCACAGAAGCCAGATAATCATTAAGTATTAAGTAGATGATAATTCCCATTAGCGAAGTCAAATATTTCAGTTTCGGAAGACAGAACGGAAACACAAAAATTAGGAAGTGCTCACGAATACGAAATGTGATGGAGACTGTTGTCAAAGATTGAATCAACGGCGGCGTTAACTTGTAAGTTAGTAATATTTGAAAATATAAGATCAAAGAAAACGTTACGATTATTAGGGATAGTGTTAACCTGATCCAGATTTAAAAAAGAATAAGTAGAAATTAAAACGTCATAGTAATCCTTTAGAAGAACCAACCAAATGATTAGTAATTTT